ATTTCATTGTTTTAATCATTCTTTCCTTCCATTTTACCCCTATAGTACTTTGGTTTGTATTTCTTTCATTACACTCACCAGAGTCAAACATGATAATTGAATATGAACCAGAAAGCAGGAGTATTATTTGATATATCTGCGCCTTTTCCAGAAATGAGAATGGAGCACAAATTAAGTCTTAATAAATGTTTATGCGATTGAATAGTGAGACTTGCCTAAGACCACATTGTTAAGTGTAGTATTGTGCCTAATAAATTTCTACTGTTGTACAAATTTTGTGTTATATACTAAATGTTTGTGATCTCCAAATTTATGTGTTGATGTTCTTATACTTAAAGTGATAGTTTAAGGGAGTGGGGGCACTGAGAGGCAATTAGGTGTACATGAGGTCATGAGATGATTAGTTCCCGATAAGAAGAACAAGAGACACCAGACCTTCCCCTCTCTGCCCACTAAAGACACATCAAGAAGGTGGCTTTCAGCAAAGCAGAAAGAGGGGCCTCACCAGAAATTCAATCTGCTGGGACCTTGATCTTGGACTTTCCAATGTAGAAAATAAATGCCTCTTGTTTAAGCCACTGTGCTAATGGTGTTGTGTTATAGTGGCTGGGATAATTTACAATCCTCTGAAATTATTTAGGAAAACTTCAGATCTAAACTTTCAATATAATTTTTCTCACAGACCTATTTTTTCCTATATAACTAAATAAAATGTCTCTTTATTTTTAACTTTGTTAGTTTTATTTATTATATTAGCATGTACCCTGATGCAGGATAATAAACCATTATTTTTTGCAAAATTTTACCTAAGTAAAGATGATAAGGTCTAAAACAGGATATAGTCTGGCTGCAGTGAAGGAAAAATAAATGGCCCACTATTTATCTGTACCTTTTAATCTTGATTTAGAGGTAAAAGTTTGATGATCCCATGTACATTCTTTTAATATGTACAATTTGATGTGTCCTCTAAAGAGTGATGAACAGAACGGTATATTTTGGACCAAGTGTAGTAGGTACTTGCAGACATTTTTCATGATGACTTCCTCCTTGGCCTTCCCCACCACTACATTGCCTCATATTGGGCTCCCTGAAGTCATGTGTTTATTACTGATCTGCCTGGTATCTGACCCAGACATGATTTGAACAGACATGGAAATTTGACCCAAGGTCACTAATTAGAAGATTTTCCTTGGGAATATACAATTTGGACCAGAAGAAAAAGATTTCATCTTTCCAAGTGTCTGGAGACATAATGAGCAACAAGCTGTCATCCTGTAGTGAACACCATTTTGTTATATGGACAAGGAGTAGAGGAACTGTTATCTGCAGAGAGTGAATAACAAAGGAGACAAGAAAACAGAGGCAGAGATGAGAGGCAGATGAAGAATTCCACTGGGTCATGTTCTTCCTGGGGCCTTACCTCATTTATTCTTACCCTTGAGCTCTATGAGGCAACTAGTGTCTTTCTACTAAATTCTTTATTTTGATTAAGACAGCCAGAGCTGCTCTCTTTCCCTGCAATCAAAGTGGCAAGTAGCTAACAGAAGGGTCATGGAAGTATAATAAAATCCAGGAAATCAAATCTCTAACAGCAACTTTAAGAGTCTTGTTCCTGTCTGTAACACTGTCTGAGCATACGGTCTCTATTCATTTTCAAAAAATTAATTAAAATGTGTCTTTCCTGTTACTGAAGGGTCTCTTGTGCTACAGATCCTTTTTACAAAATTTAATAACAAATTTAAAACAACTAACAAAAGGTTTATTTATAGAGGTTGATAATTTCCTGCCCACATTAATTTCTATGTATGCCCAGATTTGGGCATTATTTCCAAAGTGATCCACTGTTTTTTCACTTAACCATTTCTTTGCCAAAAATTTCATAAAACTTTAATACAAAAAGACTTGGTTTGAAATTTGACACGTAATATATTTTTAAAATATAAACAATGTTCTTTTGGTGATACTGAGAAGTATAAGTAATCCTCAATAAAGTATAAATAATTCTTAATAATCACGTATGGGGTACTAATTACGCATGCAATGTGTAGGGTAGAAAGACAAAGACTAATGTGGATATAGCTGAGTTACTGCGTCATTTAAAAGCTCTATATCAGTATTGTTGGTGGCAGTGTTTTCAGTGACTAACCCTAACAAGAAGGCAGAAAATATTTGCATGATCTCAAAAATATATGGAATTGAATAGCTATGTCAGGCAGAGGATTTGAAGTCAAGTGCTTGTGATGAGTGATGAGAATTTTCTCGAGGGTAGGGTATACAAGGATGGGGAGGATAAAAAAATTAGACTTAGTTAGCAATTTTGAACATTGTCAGTTGAGTACTTCCTAACAATTTTGTTGAACTATGCATAAGCCTCATTTTACACTTCAAGATACAGCTAAAAATTTTAAGTTCAATATTTTGAAAACATTTGATATTATACAAGTTCTTTAAATCTAATTTGAAGAGGTAAATTAAACTTCTTAGAATAAAAGAATTTATAATTAGATTATCTGAACTAAATGAGGAAGCCAGTTGTTATTTATCCAGCTGTCTCAATTGTGATTTCTAACTCTAAGAGAGGAAAGGAAGGGAAGAGCAAGTGGGGACAGAGCGAGAGAAAGAAAGAGAGAGAGAGAAACTTGGCAATGGTTTATCTCCTGCTCCCCTTTCAATACAGCTTATCTTAAATTTCTTACATGGATATCCTTTGAAGGAAAGAGCCATATCCTCAGTTTATTCTGTTTGCTCTCTGTCCCCTCAGACAATTTATTTTCATAAGAATCAGGAGAGGTAGATAGAGGAGGACACTTGAGAAAGAGCAAATGAAACAGGAGATGAAGTAGGCATGATGCATCTTTCTTCATTAGATTCCTTTTGGAAGTGAATATTAGAAATTTGAGCATCTATATAATGATTCCCTAGAAGCAATCTGTGGCACATACCCTGAGAAATGAGGGCTCAGGGTAAACATCCTATTGTTTGAAGACCCAATAAAGGAGTAGTACTTGCTGTGGTTTTTCCCAACCTAGAATTTGAACCTGGCCAGTCTGGAATTCCTGGAAGGATTCCTTCAGTCTCCAGTCTCATAAGTGAGAACTTCATTTTGGCCCCAGAGCAGGGTATAGAATGAGTGACTGAGAACACAATCTCGAGTGATACTTGGATTTGGTAGTGATAAGGAATAAAACTTTTTGTTCTAAGATTTTGGAAATCAGAGAGAGAAAATACCAGCCAGAAAGAAGAAGACAGGTGTGAATTTAGGATTCTTTCCAAGTGCTCTTCTGGTTGTGTTAACATGACTTGTTTTCTTTGTTGTGATGATTAACTGTATGTGTCATCCCAGTCAGCCTGTGGTGCCCAGCCCAGTTGTTTGGTCAAATTTGTTGGTATAGATGTTGCTAAGAAAGCATTTTTGAGATGCACGAACACTTACAATGAATGGACTTTAACTGAAGAAAAGTAGTTGCTTTGCTTAAAGTCAACTGATTATAAATGTTTAAGTAAAGTAACATACTTTTCCACTCACCTGTAGTGTAGGTGGACCTCAAAAGCAAAGACTGAAGTTTATACAGGAGAAAGAATTCTGCCTAGAGATAACAACATAGAATCCCTGCCTGATTTTCCAGCCTGCTGGTTTGCACAGCAGATTTTAGATTCAAGGCTGCACCATCAACCCTGACCTGAATTTCCAGTCTGACAGCCTGTCTTACAGGTTTTGAATTTGCCAAGCTTCACAAATGCATGAGGTAATCCCTTAAAATAAGTCAATCTCTCTTGTGCTCTCTCTGTTTTGATACATATATATCTATACACATATATATGTATATATATATATATACATGTGTATATATACATATATATACACACATGTGTATATGTATCTTTTTGGATATATATATCATATATAGGATATATATGTTTAAAACATGGAGACAGATTTATAGATATATATTTCTAAACACACACACACACACACACACACACACAACTAGTTTGGAGAATCCAAAATAATACACATGTGTATTCCAGCACAAAATTAGCATTTTCCCCAGAGGTTTATGTGTCTGTTTCTTCCACTGCTCAAAACTTCTTAAGTTCAGATTGCCTCTCATTCATGCTTGTCATCACACTGTCTGATGTATTTTAGGCATATAAAACTAATTAAGATGTTAACACATGGATAAGTAATGTTATTTTTTGGTAATGAACACCATATTCTCTAACAACTTTACTTTAATTTGTGATATATACATAGGTATCTGTAAATTAACATGATTACAGGCTGGAGATCTCAGAAGAACATATCAGGTGGGACCTAACAGTGGACCTAAGGAAAATGGCAAACTCTACTGCTCTGTGGCATAGAGGTGCTACAGGAGTACAAATTTCTGACCATACACTTAGGTGTGCAGAAAACTATGCATTTCTTAAATTTATAAAAATTTCATGAAATCTTATTGTGAGCTCTTATCTTGTAGAGTTTATGGAAAAGTCAATCATTCTCATTCTTGGGATGACCTGTAACCTATATATGTGATGAGCAGGAAGTATCCAGGATCCTAAACTGCTCTGCAGATCTTAAGGGCCTCTGAATTAGGCAGAATTCCAGCCTGCAAAGTTCCTTCAGGCACAGCAGCTCTTGGCCTATACTTTCTGCATTGCTCAGAACATCCAGGGCTTGGCCTGGAGCACAGGTGCTGAAAGCCCATTCCCTCTGTAAGCCAAGAAAAGATCTCCATTATAGTTGTGAGGATTTCTGTGGGCACCACTGGGATGGTATATCCAGCCCTTCATCTCGTTTTATTCTGTGGAGAATGTATCCGAAAGTAAACTTAAAGTTTCTTACTAAAAAATGAAGAGTGATTATAGTTAGGTAGCTTCTGCTTCTATCCAGAAAGATAAACTCACATAACATAAGGTGCGAGGAAAGTATAGAAAATGAATTGTTTCAGAATATTGCTCTTCTCTATATATTTTGTTCAATTAAAGCCATCACTTACCTTACTGATATTTTTCTGTTTGCAATGAAACAGAAGATGGTGATCATAGCATGAGTCATCAGGAGTGCAAACCCAATACCCAGAAGAGTCCACGTGTCTAGAATTTCAAACCAATGAAAAGGTAAGTATGCAGAAAAAATATTAAAGACCCCAACAAAGCAGTTTGTTTACTCAAAGTGTCACTTACTATTCTGAGTGTACACGGAATCTGAAGTAGGAGGGTTAAACCTGATGTGGCATCGATTTCCTTTCCATCCTGGTCCACATCTGGAAATAAGATAAAATGTGACAGTTAAAAACAAATGAAAATGAAGATATTTATTTAAGCAGAATTGTCATGGAATAAAATGACCAAACCATGAATTACCAGGAATACAGACAACTTTGATAAGAAATCAAAAATGTTAATCCAAAATGAAAAACAATAAATTTATTATTTTCATATTACTGGTAAGCTGATGTTTTTGATAGTTATGTCCTTCCCGACTTTAAAAGATGGGAACTTCCTCTGTACATGCTCCATGTTTTGTTTTCAAATGCTGACTTTTTACCAGTCTCCAGTATCATTTTATTCTTCATTTGGCTCAAAATCAAAAGTTATCAGTTTTCAATAGTGAAAAGATTTTTCTTTCGGATAGCCAATAGGGCATATTCAAATTTCAGATTAGCGTAAATATCATCCTGTAAACATATTAATTTCCATCACAGAAAGATCCTGAAGGTACTTAGATTTGGAATCTGATGAATAAATCTCATTCACTGAGATTCCACCAGGATTCCATTTCCTTCACTTTGTTTAGGGATGAAAAAGATGAAACTTGTAAACCTAGCATGGGTTCTCTTCAGAAAGTGCAGAATTGAAGACCAGTTTGTGTGCAGAGGGAGATGAGGTTTATTTTCGAGGACTTAATGTGTCAGAATTTTCCTGGTAGCATGTGTTTGCATATGCATGCAAAAGTTAATTTGCTTACCAGAAACAACGTGGTACAAATTAAGGTGGGTTTCGCCAAATTTCCTGCCAAGTTCACAGCGCATGCTAAAAAATGGATTCAAAGCCATCAGTTGAATATGCATGTGTAAAACCTTAAGCAAAAGGTTTAGCCATTGAATGTGGTTAAAATTAGGTTTAATATGTGTTTAAAGTCTATTATGTGTTTGAAACACGTAATGAAAGCTTGTGCTTATTTAGCTATTTAGCACACATTTGTATTTTCTCCCAACCTCTTTTTAAATTTGAAAATTTGCATGCTCAAAAACAATTTCTTCAAAAAGCAATCGGATTCCTTAAACATAAGAAAAAAAAAAAAACAACTTAGAGTGCTAGCTGGGCACAGTGGCTCGCCTATAATCTTCGGTACTTGGAGGGTGGGTATTAAGATGATCTCAGAGGCTAATGTGTATGTGTGGGGGGTGGGGGAAGAATTTGTAAGACCTTACCTCGACCAATAAAAGAGGAGCATGTTTAGTGTGCCCCTGTCATCCCAGCTAGGCAGGATGGTTGTCCAGGCACTCAGGCTTTAAAAATGAAACCCTATTCAAAAAATAACTAAAAGCAGAAAGGGTTGTCGGTATAGCTCAAGCACCTGAATAGAGGCACAAGTCCTTGAATTCATACCCTAGTATTGCGAAAAAGCAAACAAAAAACTTAGAGGTTTGAGGAAACCAATTAGATTCCTTTTGCTAAGTAAATACTCCTTAAAAAGTAGAAATCAAACAAGAATTTGATTGGTTTGGTGTTTCTGAAATTCAAATTAAAATAAATTAGAATTGTTGAAGGCTGGAATATTTGATTTTTATTCTCACCATCTTTAAGATTGTAAGAATCTTAAGGATCTTTGTCAGTCCTCATTTGACAATGGGAATCGTACATGGCAAAGTTTCACCTATGCACACCCTGGTGTGGCCTGAAGGGAGAGGGGACTTTTTTCCTTCTGGGTCAACGTGATTCATTTATAGTTTGAAAGTGCCACTTTCCTAGTATGAGGACTACAATAGCCTATGCCTTAGGCAAATTGTATCTATGCGAATGTGCCTATTAAGATAAATTCCAGTAGACAGTATCTGGAAATGTCAGTTCAAGAATAATGGGAGAAAAATGAATCACAGAAAGAAATGGCATAAATTATCTATCTATTTATCTATCGATCGATCAATCCATCTGTCATCTGTCCATCCATCCTTCTCTCTGTGTCTATTGTCCACTTATTTATCTATGCTTATATATTTGTTTTAATATAAACCCGGTACAATAGATGGTGCAGAAGGAGAACAGAGAAACATTTATGGGGTTGCAGGAAAAGCAAATAGGAAAATTTGACATATGTTTTTATCTTTGCTTGGCAAACTATACCTCCTCTATGGAAAATCCAGTGTTTGAAGTAACTGAGGCAATCTGATCTCCAGACTTCTTTAAATTCTCCCTGACAGGGGTGGGTCCTCAGCTCTTGAGATGGGATGCTGAGGACAGCATTAGTGGCAGGCCAAGATGGCTCACTGAAGTTCCACCCACCCTTTGAGCAACACCATTGGAAGTAATTTCTCTCCTGTCACCTTCTTGAGGACTGTGGGGTGGAAGGGAAAGCAGAAAATCCTGTCGGTTCTATCTATAGCTGGGTGGACCCAGTCCATATAAGCTCACCATAAATCTCTATTAGATATCATTAAGATGTTTTCAAAAGAAAACATTAGGGTCATTTTCTCCAGTATTTTTCATAGTAGTCTGAATAGGGAAGCTTAGGCATCTCATTCAAGTACTTCTCATTAGTAAATCAGCAAGATTGGAATAACAAGTGAAAAACAAGAGAATGTCTAACTCTGAAGGGTAATGTAAAGATGGTTCCTGTTTTTACTAGTGTTGAGTGTTTCTGTAGTTGTTGGAGGTGAAGAGTGAAGGCTCTTGTGGGTAGAAATAGGACAGGGAAAGTGAATGAGCTTTGAAGCTAGCTTCAGTGTGCTTTGGTTAAGTGGATGCTGACCAAAAATGACCAGATGGCTCATTCCAGGAGCAGTGATGGGGAACAAGGTGTTTGGTCAAGTGGCTTGGTGGGTATGAGGAAGTTGTATAATTGCCTGAAGGCAGAAATTATTTCCTAAAGGAACAGGAGAATGATATTCGATTTATTAGCTTGCCAATTAATTAAGAACTAGAATTACCCTTATAGGTAATCTTTTAGCTATTTTATTACTAAACAAGGCTGAATACAAATGTGGTTTTACATCTTGTGCAATCAGAAAGGACCATAAAGACCATAAGCATTACATAATGCTGTGTTAAGCCTGAGCTCCATCAGTCTAAATTAGAATGCTTGTTATTTTGTTTTAATGTCAAAAAGAAAGAATGAAATACTAGATTTGATGTAACTACTTGGAAGTTTTATTTAAATTCTTATATTTTCATAATAATCATTAGAATCAGGTTTTTAAAGCTAATAGCCTAAAATTAACCATAGGTTTAACAGAAGGAAAAAAAATTCACTTGTTTTTACTCAGACAGAACTAATATGAAAAACACATATGAGGAGAATCTGATTTATTTTGTGCTTTATGTGACAGACTCTATTTTTGCACTTATTTTGTAGGCCTAGTAAGTCTAACCTTGGAAAATTTCAACCTTATTTTTAGAGTTCTGGAAATTCAAACTTTTACCAAAATATGGTGTATGCTGGGTTGTCTCCCCCAATTTCATTGTACCAATCCTCCTCCTTCCTTATCTTCCATTAAATTGTATAGCTTTCCTATGGTTCAGTTGGAATTGAATCCAACTTGACCACTATGGGGTTCTATTCTCCTTGCTGTAATTGGCTCAGCATCCCATCCATCACCATATGGCATTCCTAGTCAGCAGGTATTGGTTCATGCAAAGACATGGTCAAATTTGTCCAGTGAGAATTTTGTCACCAAGTTTGCATTTTGATGGATATTGGTAGTAAGAGCGATCTCCTCAAACTGGATGGATGTAAAAGAGGAAGTTTGGGAAGTCATCTGGGTTTCATTTTGATGTGAAAGCCACTGTGAGGATAAATCAACTAGTAAGAAGCAGAAGTCTGGGAAACCATTGAGAAATGGAGAAACAATGCAACAGCATTTCAGATTTCACTGTCAGTTCATGCTCCATGTCAGTCTGCCGTGCACTGAGAATTCTAATTATGAGTTAAAAATTCAAAATTTCAAAAATTCAAGTCATTTTGGCCACTTGGAGTTTGATTTTCCTTTATTAACACACATACACACACAAGGTTAGTTATTCTTCTATTTCACTTTGTTCTTTAAAGTTCTTGTCATTAAATTAATAAACTATTACTAATAAATATCTAATTGATATCTGCTACATATCTACTTGATATGTAGAGGATATAAAAGTGGATAAGACATGGTTGAGAATTTGTAGAAATCCAAACTTAAGAAAGAAAATAAAAAATACATTTAAAACCAACTAATATACAAAATAGAAGATTAATTATAAGAAAAGTAAATGCCAAAAGAAATGATGAAATAATTGTTTCAAGAATCATTTTTCTAGACCCAGAAAGTGAAAAATGTGCATTGTTGGGCATTGGTGGAAGATGTGGTATAATAAATTGTATTTCCTTCAAAGAGTGAAGCATTTGTATGTATTATACAGCAATGTGTCAGAAAAATTGGTTATCTAAGTACATAGAAACCATCTATCCTTGACTGGATCTGGAGAGGTATGTTCACACAAGAGTTAATAGGATCCTAAACTAACCTCTACACTTCTCAATTTTTTATTATACTTAATTTTTCATCCATTTGGAAAATATTGTAAATTAGCTTAATAAGTTAGCAATATAGAAAGAAGGCATCATTTTTATTAGGCATTTCATACTAACATGTTAAAACTATTAAATAACTATCTATCAATTTTGTTGGGAGGGGTCAGTAACACTACATTTATAGTCCAAACTTTAGCAAACAACATTATATCAAGCCTGTCCAATACAAAATATTTATTGAGTGCCTGCAAGATGTTAGGTAAAATTCTAAGTGCTTTCATACACTACTTGTAATACAGCAACATTAAAAATAGGATTTATTTCCCCATTTTGTTATTAAGAAATGAAGGCACAGAAAATTTGAGTTTTAAATCACCAAGGAGTATATTCCGAATCACAATTTCAACTTTGGTTTTTTAGACTATGCTATGTTGACAACATGTTTTTGCTTCCCATGGTCTTCCCAAAGTTAGAATGTAGTGGCTTTACAACTTTTATCTGTTAGGGGAACATTATTTAGAAGAAATTTCTGGT